CACATTGCTGGATGTCAGATCATGAATACACGAAGAGATTAACATTTTCAAAACCAGAGGGCGCAAGAAGCAGAGGACGACCACAAAGGAGATGAATTGATGATGTGGAAGAAGACTTACAGATTCTAAGGTTCAGAAGATGGAGGAAAGTTGCCATGAATCGCCAGGAGTGGCGACTTCTTTGTGAGCAGGTCAAGATCCACAACAGATTGTCGAGCCACTTATGATGATGATGTGGGTAAGTCTGTTGTTTATTTCTACCACCTAGTTTAGATTTTATTAGTTATCACACATCAAAACATTTTATTATTTAACCCTTTCACTGCAATATTATATTTAGTACAGCTATTTTCACCTGTGCTGATCAACATAGTAACCACAGTCAAGTGTTGTAATACCACATATGAATATGGTTCATGCAGTATATCAGTATATTGTATTCAGAGCTGTATTTTCAATTATTTAGAAGTTATTCTAAAGACTTGCTGCTATATTTTTCATAATTAAAAATAATTGTACACTGAAGAATATTCATTTTTTATTTATTAATATGAATTATCACCACAAGTTAAACACAAATATTCTTATCAGACTTAGCTTATACAGCATTTTATAAAAATTCTGCACAAATGCAGAAAACAAATAAAAAATGAACTATATACAGTAAGTAAAAAAAATGTTAAGTAAGTTAAAAAATAATACAGTTCAAAACAAAGAATAATACATAGACACATTATCATTTATGCATGTGTAGTGTATTTCTTTTTGAATTTTATGCTTTGCACATATGATGTGGCGCATATTTGGTGGTCTTTTATTTTCTTTTGTGCCTCCATACATTATACAAAAGTGTCTGTCAATAAGGCATAATGGTGAGTAAGTCTCAATTGGCTTACCACTAATTGATGCAAGTGTAATCAGCAATAATTTTTAAGTATTAACTGAAAACATGGCTGTTTAACAAACTTAAGTCAAACAAATGAAAAAATAACTTCTTATGCCACTTAATGGACTTCCTGACAGACTCAGTACTACTAAGACCCAAGTATATTTTTTAAAAGTCCAGATATTCCAATCATAGTCCTGTACACAACACATATGATACACATATTATTTCTGAATAAAGGCGTTGCCTTAAGATTTTTTTTGCCTATTTTTCATGTTACTAAATGAAGTGTAAGTGTGTGTGTGGTTGGATATTGACTGCGAAACCTAAGGTTTCATTCACCTAATTATATTTGATGTTGATTCTAGGGACAAAAATTAAATTATTTCTAAAAACAATATAAACATGATCAAAAAATCTACATTACACAGTTGGTAAACTTACAAATCACATATTACTATTTCATATAAAGTATACAAGTATTATCCAGTGATTATATTTTTTTCCAATATTTATTCTTTTTCTTATTTATTAATTTTTTTATGTTTTTTTTAATATTGTTTTTTATTATTAGAATGATTTTCAAATATTTTCTATGTTTTATTTATTTGTTTTTTATTTTATTATTTTTTCAATTTATTATGTACAAGTTTGGTATAAAATTCCCTTTATAAACTACTGTTTCAAATTCTTATTCATAAACTGCTTATGTAATAATATAACAACTTATAAACTTCTAAATTGTTAAAAACTATTAACTCAAAACGGTTTTAGTAAAAATTTTATTTTCATAATTGCTTTTATAAAACTATTGCTTTTATAAGACTATAGTCTTTATTCTAAAGATCATTATGATTGCATTTTCTTTTTTTTTTGTAATTAAATTAGAGAACTATGGTTTAGTAGGAGTTAGAAATCGGCTGAATGTCTTAATAAAAAATCCATCCATTCCTGCCTAATTATATTTTATGAAATAATATAAAGATCTAGAATTAATGAATATTTTATACTACTAGAATTTAATGCTTCCTTAGCAGACATCTCAACTTTTTCATTATGGATAATTCTATATGAATTATTCCATTATGGAATGAGGTGTGATAAGCATTGTAATTTGTTTGTCTAACTACCATGGATAATTCCATATGAATTATTCCATTATGGAATCATAGACATATATATTAACATAGACTGAGCAGTCTGTAGAGCTAAGTGACAACACCATCTTTTTTTTTGTTGTATCTCTTCTTACATGCAGTTAGAATTGCAGCATTTATTTTTGCTGGGATAGAGAAAGAGTGAGAAGTTTCAATGTGCTAGAAAGAAACAGATTAAACAAATACAAGAGATCTTATCATCAAAATCCACAACGAAAATAATTCCTGCAGCTGGCTGTATACCATGTATCACAAAAAAGAGGTTAAATCTTTGTAAATGGGTATATTTAAAAAACCCTTAAAAGGGCTACATCAAATAACACAAACATTTTCGGAATAATAATTGGATTGCTGTTATCATTTTTAACATCCTCAAAGTTTTTGAATCTTTTGGCTGTAGTAATACTATGTATAACGAATATTGTTTCATGGTAAATTGACATTTTGTTTTTGACATCGTTCATAGGTATCTTGTCAATCAGTTACCAGCTAAAGTCTGTTTGAAGAGGTTTACTCTCCGGACACTGGAACTCACAAAGCATGGGTGTATGTTACCTAAAGTAAAATTTAATTAAATATTTAACATCAAATATTAATAACAACATTGTGTGCAATCTTTGTTAACCTTATATATTTTAAAGGGTTTTTACCCTAATATTTTGGTGGCTCAGGCATGTTAACCTGTAAGTATAACCATTTTGCTTTTTTAACCTTAGTCAAAATTTTAAACCACATTTGCTTAATTAAATGGTTTATACTTATTTTAGGCATTTTTAACCTGATGTTGGAATTATTATTCCGAAACGTTCATGTTATTTGATGTAACCCTTTTAAGGGTTTTTAAATACACCCATTTACAAAGATTTAACCTCTTTTTTTATCTTTTCATCAGTATGTGCGGCTGGTATGCTCGGTCTATGTTAATATATATGTCTATGTATGGAATGAGATGGGTAACTTGTCATTTGTCTAACTACTTCAGTGTCTGTGTATTTACAGTATTGTAGCCAACTACCTTACCTTTACATATTTTTTCCATCATGGGTGGCATATATTGTCTATTTGATTTTACCATGCCACATGCATTTGTTTTTTTTTATGTAGCTTATCAAATAAAAGTAGATTCATGTAGCAGTTGTCCATATATACTTAACTTTATTCAAATAATGCTCATCAATGTATAAAGAATTCTAAGAAGATTCTAATCCATGTCAAAGATTTGAATTTCAGTATTAGATCCAGTGTAAATGATAAAGTCTAGAATGTAGCCTGTTTCAAAGTCACCCAAAATGAATAACTTAATTTCAAATATATGCCTTTTGGAGGGTATATATTGTGTAAATTATGGTCTTCCTTTACAATGCAAACAGTACTGAAAGGATATGGGGAACCACAAAAACCAGCCTTTAAATGGTCTGTACCCATTCACAGCTTAAAAAGGGGGTCTATTTTATCAATGATATTAGACATATGCAACAAATTTAAATGTCTTTATAGAAATCACTTGACTTAAATTAAGGGGAAATTGGTGCCAACAGGAAACTGTTAGTTAATCAGTAAGCATTTACCTTTGGTGGCACAGTTGAGCTGAGCCATAAGAAAAGACAAAGCTAGAAAATAAAATGTGTAGATACTTCACATTTTCAATACCACTATGTATTTGTAAATGTTGTTAACTTATTTTAACAAAGTTTTCAGAAAAAATGCTTTAAAGGTCCTGCTGATCTGTTGTTATTAAAATTATGAATTATTGGTTACAGATTCCCCTTTTTCCAGTTATATAAGGGTACCTGTTCACATTTATGACATTTAGCTTTATGAGAAATAACTTCTGTGGTGAAAGTACTATTTTTACTAACATTTGTTGAGGCTATCACAGTCTCTGTATTTTCCAGTCCAGTTTCATCAGTTTTTGCATCAGATTCTTGAAGAATACACTTATCATCACTATCAATTAACATTAAAATTTCAAATAATTCACCATTGGTGAGATATTTGCAAGCTTGGCAGAGGAACGTGATGGATATCAATGACTGGAGAGAAATTCTTGAGAAGGCTAGAACCTACACAGAGTTGTACAGCCAAAATGATAATGATGGTGAATATAAATAATAACTTACTAATATTAAAATACCACATAGTTTTACCACAAAAACAACAGACACCCTTGAAAAAAATTGCATTGCTAAAATAAAATTGGGCAGTACATGTCGCCAGATTATTAGACAACCAATGGACAAAACATTGACTATTGTCAAGTGGGGACCAAGATAAGAAGCAATATAGAGCAGAGGATGTCCACAAACTAGATGGACTGAAGACCTGAAGCATGTTAGCAGTAACTGGATGCAAGCCGCACAAGTCAAAGACAGATAGAGCTTAGGGAGATCTATGTAAAGCAGTGGACCCATACAGGTTAATGATGATGATGATATAATGTTTGCCTCTATACTTAGTGTATGTTATTATTAATAATAAAAGCCGTTTTTATTGTATACCATTATCTATTCTACTTAGGAAAATTGTTGTTATACCTAAATGATGGTTGTTATACCTAAATAACAAAATTGGTAGAAAAAATTCTATTCCTACATGTTGTCAAACCAAAACACTGTGCTAATTATTTCATTTTTTCATTAACTTTTTTACAGCTGTTTATGAAATAGCACATCGAAGTAGAGGTCGTCCACCAACAAGATGGTCTGATGACATAAAATGGATCAACAAAAATTGGATGCAAACAGCACAAAACAGAAATACATGGAAAAGACTGAGGGAGACCTATACCCAGCAGTGGATAGATCCGGGTTAAATGATGATGATGAAATAAAATGTAATAGCTCTTAACAAACAATATTTGCTTGACAGAAATCTCATCTTTAACAATTAAAATACTGCTGTTGAATAATTATAAATGGATAAAGGTACTCATTGAAAATATACAAATATTAGCTTACTTATAGAAGCTTTCTGCTTGTTTTCTTTGATTCCTGTACCTGGCTATATCCCCAAGATGTACCAAACAGTACTGGCAAACATAAAGACAAGAAGAGGTTTGTGGCAAGCTTATCATTTCTGAACTAGTTATGGTTTGTCCAAAGACATTCCCTCTCCTTCTAAAAGGCAAATCTACATCAAAGGTGTTACACAGTTCTTGTAATAGTGAAATATAAAAGCCAGACGCAGATTCCAAAGCCCATGTTAGCAGTGCTTGACAATCAGAGCGATGAGGATTCTACAAATAAAACAATTATTTTTAATGTTGAACTTATGACACTTGGGATATTCCATACCTTTTTGTCTCTAGCTTGCTCTTGTAAACTCGAGATGTGATTTTTGAATCCTATATTCCACAAATCCTGTTCAACTTTTTTGTCCAGCGCGTATTCCAAATCGAGTACAAGTACTTGATGGTAAATAGTTTGTAATTTCTGTTGATCTGTCCAAGCTTCGGCATTGTTTAACCAGTCACTTTTTCTCGATACCTTTATTTTTAGATCGTCTGCTTGTCTAAAATCAAAATCATAAATAATATGTTTCCTAAGATTGTGCGCTTTTAAAACTTACTTCAAAACTTGGACAGCTGCTTTGTATCCCATATTTTTCATTCACGTAACGATAAAATTTCAATCTGCTACCAAAATCACATTATTTCGCCGAATGTGGCCAATTAACCTAAATTAATAAATCAAATTTCACAATATTTTCTTTAAAAGAACCATATCTTTTATTTATCAAATTCTGTAAAGTGACATTTATCTTCTTCTTTTGTAAATCTTACAAGGCCTTTGCAATAAATATTCCACATCTTGTTTTCATGGGCGTAGATATTAAAGTTTATTCCTGATATACATAATATGCATATTGTATATCAGGACAGGATCTCAGATACCTACAGTATATCTGTAAAGATTAAGTTCTGAGGAGACTCTTTCGAAGTATATCCCAAAAATGTTCTTCGCATCTAGACCTCGAGAGCAATTTATTATTCTATGGCAGTAATATTTTCTACATGATATTAAAGTAGCTTTACATCTAGGCCATGCAAGGCTAATGGCTAATACTATGCAATTTCTTCTTGCATGGCACATGGCATATCCGTTGCCTAGTTGAACTGTTTACATTACAGATTTTTGTGACATTTTGAGATAGAACTTTCACTCATCTTTCACTGTTCCCAACAGAAAAAAAACTACTATCTCGGGATAGTCAATGCGGAGCCACGACTACAAGAGAATTGAACTATTTTGGACAAGCTTAAAGTTCGTCTATGTTTTGAATTTTTAGCAACTAAAACAAGATTCGATATGTTTGGACGTATTGAAACTGATTTTTTTCTGTCCAAATTTTTGAATATATATTGCGGAGTATTATTAATTCATAAATATACTTAAAGATTAAAGACGTATAAGGAAGATTATTATGTACGAATCAACTTTTTCAAAATTAGGAAGATAATTGTAAGATTTATGTATAAATAAAGTATCCGGTAGCGATGTTCGCAACATTCGCAAATGTCACAGTCATAATTGACTTTATTTTTTACGTGTTTATTTTTAGAATGTCTCGATAAATTATTTTTTAAATAAACAGAAATATTGCAAACTTTGCAACAATATTTCACTTCGTCCCCGTTCGCAAGTGGCTAAACCTGAAAAGAACGTTGACAAAACTTTTACAAGTTATTAGTTATTACCATAGATTATTTATTGTGTCTCATTTTATTTTTTAGGTATTTTGTAACTTTGATTATTGAGTATAAAATTTTTATGAATTTTTCTAATTCTAAAATAGTATTATTTTATAATGTTTTCCATCATTTATAAATTGTTGTTATAAACACTGTTGTCTATTTAAACAAGTTCTAGAACTAGTAATTAGAATTTAAAACATCCATTTTTAATTTGAACCATTACATATATTGTTATAATAATTATATTTTTGTAAATCAAACAGCACAGTAGAGCTTTGCTCGTTTGCAATAGATATACATATTATTCCTACCAACTGTTTTACTTTATGTATTGCATAGATCAGTGTTTCCCAAATAGTGGTCCGCGGACCCCCGGGGGTCCGCGACATATTTTTCGAGGGTCCGCGAGCCCACGGCATAAAAAAAGAATAGGCAAAAATACGTTCACAATTTTTTGAAGTTTTAAGAATTAATGTTTGATCTGGCAACGGTGCTTGCTAACACATAAACACGTCATGGCTTCGGGCGTGGCCTTGCTTCGGGCGTGGCCTTGCGCCTACGCATTTTTTTTGTCTGAGCTTAGTTTCTCCTGTAACGTGTAAAGTAATGGTAACGTGACAACTTTAGAATCGATTTGGAAGCAGATACACACAATTTTTATTACAATTGTTCGGTTGATTAGTGACTAATAGTGACTAGTGTTTTTACTATGGATCGTTGGTTGAAAAGCGGCTCTTTGAAAAGACCACACTGTGATGATGAGACGGAACAACAACCAAGTATTTCTCAGGAGTCAGAAACTCAACCTAAGGCAGCGAATTCGACGCCAAAAAGTATTGGTAAGTTTCGTGGGAAGCAACGAAAATATAATGAAGAATATTTACAATTTGGATTTATTGAAAATACCGTCAACGACGAGTTAAGACCACAATGTGTTTTATGTTTTGATGTGCTTTCAAATGAATGTATGAAACCGGCAAAACTTCGACGTCATTTACAGCGAAAGCACCCTGAATCAGAGAATAAATCTATTGATTTCTTTCGATTGAAAATGAAAGAACTTAAACAGAGTCAAAACGTAATAAAAACAGTTGCTTCTGGAAATGAAAAGGCCACACTTGTTTCTTTTCAAATAGCGGAATTAATCGCTAAATCTGGAAAGTCCCACACTATAGCAGAGGAGTTACTGCTTCCAGCTGCGCAGATTATGTGTAAGACCATGATTAGTGATTCTGCTGCAAACCAGTTGCAAGTAATACCTCTCTCCAACAACACTATAAAAAGAAGAATAACCGATTTTTCCCTGAATGTTGAACAGATTTTAATTGCAAGACTCCAGATTTGTAAAATGTTCGCCATACAACTTGATGAAAGTACAGATATTTCAAATAAAGCAATTTTGTTGGTATTTGTTCGTTACGACTATGATGGTGAAATTCATGAAGACTTTTTGTGTTTACGGGAACTAATGCGTACTACAGCTGACTGTGTGTTTAACGCTCTCAATGATTTTTTTACTGAATCTAATATATTGTGGAACAAATGCGTTGGATTAAGTACAGACGGAGCCCGTGCTATGTCTGGAAAATTAACGGGTCTTGTGGCACTCGTGAAAAATGTAGCACCCAATATAATATGGACTCATTGCTGTATCCATAGGGAAGCTCTAGCTTGCAAAAAAATGCCGCCATCGTTAAAATTGGTCTTGGACGAAGTTGTTAAAATTATTAATTTTATTAAGGCCAGGCCGTTAAACTCCCGTGTTTTTCAAGCAATTTGTGAAGAAGCAGGCAGTGAACACATTCAACTCCTTTTACATACAGAAGTACGATGGTTATCCCGGGGAAAGATTTTGGCTCGATTTTTTGAATTGCGCAACGAAGTGCGACTTTTTCTAAGTGAGAATAAATTTGAATTAGCTGAACGACTTAACAATTTTTCTTGGATGTGCATGACAGCATACTTATCCGATATTTTTGTTTTTTTAAATGGACTGAATCTACAATTACAGGGCAAAAATGTAAATATTTTTAAAACTGACGAAAAAATAGAAGCCACCATACAAAAATTACAAATTTGGGCTAACCGTGTGGAACAATCATCTTTAAGTTCATTTCCGACTTTAGATTCGTTTCTGAAATCCGAGGAAGAAACTTTGCCACAAGAGATTCAACTTATAATTTGCGAGCATTTGCGGAATGTAGTTATAAGTTTTCGTGAATATTTTCCTGCACCAAATGATGAAAACAGCTGGATTAGAAATCCGTTTGTTACATCAAGAATTGAAGAAAATGCTAGTCTTACAGAAAAACAACAAGATCAGCTCGTGGACTTGTCTTGTAGCAGTTCTAAAAAAGATATTTTTAACGACAACGATTTAATTCAGTTTTGGATTAAAATTAATTCTGATTACAACGATCTCTCCGAAAAGGCTATGAAACATTTGATTCCATTTTGTACGACGTATTTATGTGAACAGGCTTTCTCTGTATACGTTATTTTAAAATCAAAACAAAGAAATCGACTGGATGTTGTTTCAGATCTAAGGTTAAAAATTTCAAATATTAGACCTGATTTACAAAAAATTATGAAGGAAAAATCAGTGTTCCATTCTTTTCATTAAAATTTAAAACTGCTGAAAATTTATAAGTTTTATAATGCAATCATTGTATTTTATTTCTATTTTCTTTTATTAATTATTAATTAAATAACATATTTAAAAAACGCAATAGTTGTTTTTTTTATTTTTCTAACGAAACTGTTTCTGGGGGTCCCCATGATCCTATTGTCTAATTTTGGGGGTCCGCAATTTTGAGACATTTGGGAAACACTGGCATAGATTATTCCTTCATATTATTATTTTTTACATCCTTTTAAATACATAAATACATCCGCCTGTGATAAGCTGCTAACTTCATACTTGTACTCCTTATGGATATGACATTGACAATTACTGATGTGTTCTTTGCATTTTGACTTTTGGCACTTTTGGTAGTTAGCTGACTGCGTGGAGCTTTTTGCTCAAAATAAAATAAAAAATAAAAATGAATATTCCAAATGAATATGTTTCAAACGCCGAAGATATTGCAGATAATGTAAGTAAAAATTAATATTATAATTTTGTGTTCATTTACAACTATCAATTTATTCAACATTTTAAAATTATTTTAAAAAGTATTTTCAAAACCAAAATGTCACGTCACCTCTTAAGTCCCTTGGGCAGTTTTTTTTCTAGTTTTAAATATTTTTCAATATAATAATGACGTAGATCTATTGTTCTTTGTATACTTTTGGCATTTGTACAGCATATGTTACATAAATTGTAATATATGAAGATCAGTTAGGTTATATTTTTCACACTCATTCTTTAAAATTCTTGACCATATGGTAAAACCCGTGTTTATTAAAATTTTCTCCAATTTAAGTAGGTCGCAGAAAGGTGTGTGAAAAAGTTTCCCCAAAATTATACATATTCTAACTTCTCTTTTTTATAATTATGATTTCCAAAACTGTATTATAGTGCCTTTAATATAAATTGCAAACTAAACTACTGTATCATTAGGAATTAGAACTGGGAGTAGTAATTTAAAATATTTTAATAGTTTTAAGAAACTATTATCTAATTCCATGTCTTACTTCAGGTTATCAGAAAATTAAAACACATACTGCCTACCTTGGCAAGAGTATGCCTAATATCAACCTTCTTAGAAGATGGATTGCGGATGTGGTTCCAGTGGACAGAACAGAGGGAATATATGGACTTATCTTGGGGATGTGGCAAAATTTTGGCCACACTTTTTGTTATAGTTAATCTAGTTGGTCAATTGGGAGGCTGTGTTATGGTGATTATAAGATACAGAGTTAATATAGCTTGTGGAGTATTGTTCTTCATTGTTGTTCTACAGGTGAGTGATTTTTATTACATATAGTGTTATCACTAGTTTTGTTGCTGTTAACAAGAAAGATGTATGTAACAAATGATTGAAGACTTATACAGTGAATAAGAAATTAGAACTTGACTGGAATAAATACAAGTATTAACAATATTTAAAGTGTGAAGTTATTAGCCTTATGAAATAAAAAAGGAAAAAATAGTTTGGGTATATTTGGGAGGATATCTTATATACTAAATTATAAAAATACATTCAGTTTTTTAAAATCAATTATCTTAAATCAAACAGATTTATGTAGTTTAACATACATAAGCGAAAATAAGGTGTGATACTGAATATCAAATTAACAGGATGTATAAAATAAAACCACAGTAAGATATGCCTGTATCAAATAGTCAATTTACTCAGCTTGAGAACATAGGAGGCATACAACACAAAGATTCCTTCCACACCTTATTAAGAGCTGAAATAAACTTACTGTTGCAGACTTCTTTGATTGAAAAAAGAAGAATAATCATGAATAATGGAAGTTTATATACTGCATGTAAATAAATTTTGAACTTAAAAGTTTCAAATGAATATTAATATGAACAGTATGGCATAACAATAATTGTTTTTGCTAGTAAATCTACATGTGTAAAAGTATTTGTAATTTCTAATAGAATTTCTATAATAGCTTTTTATAAGTATTTGGTCAACAGTTGAGATAATCCTTATCATAAAAGATTAAAAATGCCTTTCTTTCTTTTTTTTTTTCTTATATCATCTGTGTGCGTAGATATCTTAAAAATGCTTCTTTATTATCTGAGGATGGGAATTGTAAATGATTTGAAAATAGAATGTCTCCTATTTAAAATTTCCTCTGCATATTATCAGTGTGCCACTGCTATAGTGTTTCATTGTGTTTCACATACACTATTACATTAGTAATATTATATATATTATATTATATATATATATTATATATATAATATTAGTCCCACAAATTAACAACACAAAATAACAAATAACCTATTATCTTAAAACTTTGATACTATACTAACAATACCAATACTAATTTGTTATTACCAGTCATTAGATAATATACAAACTTTTTATTGTGTTTATTAAAGCCCTAGCAGGTCCTTTTTGAAAATGTGTTATTGTCCCTCTGTGAGATAACTCTTGAAGAAAAAGTCATAGAATATTGAAACTTGATACCTACTTTTTTGCTAAGGCAGAGTCCTATTCAAATTGGCATGAATAGGTCGAAAGTAACCATAGTTACTGATAGTGCTGGATAAAGGTTACTATTGAAATTCGATTTATAGTGCCTTTAGGACATACATATACCGGGTGGTGAATCGTCAAACGGGCCATAGGAAACTCAATGGGAAATTTTAAATTGTTGAATTGCTGCTTCCCTAATTATTTTAGATCAAAAGTCATAAAAAACTATTTGTAGAGGACTAAAATCTGAATTAAAAGCAAATGTTAAAACCTTTCTACGAATCAAATGTACTTCAAAATTTTGCAAAAATACAATACATTTTTCAGGCCACCCCTAAAAGTTAGGCCACACGTAATGCAAGAATATATATTAGGACGTCTGTGTTTTATCATATTAATGTCAGATGTTTGACAATTTGAATTGTCAATTTTTTTATTTTATGATTAAATTATAAACAATGAATTTTACTAAATACTACTACTCACGATATACAAACACAAGTACTAATGACCATTATTACTTTGTGAACAATAAATTATATTGTTTACAAATCGATCAATATAGTGAAATTTACTCAGTTGACGAAAAATCACATAATGTTGTATACAGGCAATAGCGCGAACCTTTTTCTGCCACTACCGGATCTTTATTTAACGTAAGATATTCTAATTCACTAAAATTTAATTCCATGTTAAGTTAAGTTATACAACAATTTAATGAATTCCAATATACTGTTACTGTGATCTTTATTCCTAATAATAATATATGATAATTTCTAAACATAAAACTATAACAAATGTTATAATAAAACATGAATAAAATATTTTTTTTATTGCTTTTTTCTCCTCAACTGAGTACATTTTTTAATCAACTTAATTTTTTTTAACAATAAATCACAAAATTTTGGCCATTTAAATCATAGATAAATGTAATATAAATAATTTAAATATTGTCACATATCAGAAACAATAATATGACAAAACGCAACACATAATACACATTTTTTCACAGAAAAATGTATTATATTTTAGCAAAATTTTGGAATACGTTTAAGTCGTAGAATAATTTTAACAGTTGTTTTCGATACATATTTGAGTCCTCTACAAATAGTTTCCCATGACTTTTGGTGTAAAATAATTAGGGAAGCAGGAATTCAACAATTTAGAATTTCCCATTGAGTTTCCTATGGCCCGTTTGACGATTCACCACCTTGTATATGTGAAGTCATCGCTTAAGATGCAAAAGTTTGTAACCCACAAATAAGTTTTTTTTTTTTTACAGGAGGATAAAAAAAATTTATATCTTTAAAAGTTTTGATATGTACATCTATCACTTATACTATAAGTGGCAAGTTTCTATCTGTAAAAAACCATGTAATATAGTCCACAACCAAAAAGGCAATTGAAGAAGCAGAAAAAATCAGTTTCTATTTCACTAAACCAATAACACAACATATTTTGTCTGTATATTCATTATGGTAAAATTAGTGCAACATAAATATGTTACACTATAAATGAACTGCTTATGACTGAAATTCAAAAACATGTTTATAGCATATAATAAATAGACTATATTCCACAAAATAAATTTACAAAATATGAATACTTAAAAAACAACCATACTATTAGGGCGCCTTCTTTAAAGGGCTGTAGCTTTTATAGGAAGTATAGAATAGAAACAACCTTTACAAACTTATGTATTAATAAAATTTTAAATTACAAATGAATAGGTTTTAAACAAACAATTGGTTTTTCTATGATTTTAAATTCCCAAGGTCAAATAGTATCAACTACAATACTTAAATGGTGTTTGTATAATATGTAGATATTACACTATTTGATTTGAATAATTGAACTGTTAAATATTTACTTAAACCTAGATTTTTAAAAGAATGCAATTATAGATAATAGGAAATAATCCATAAAGTACTGTCTAAATATTTATGTTAATTTGAAATATTATCAGCTTGACTGTCAGTTGTATTTCTAAATAGGTGAAAATAGCATAATTAATAATATTCCAGACACATACTGTAATATCTCAGTGAATTATCAAGTCAAACAACTAGATACATTATATATTTGTCACATTAGGCTCAAATTGTAAAAGGAAGATATGTGTTTGATGCCAATTGGAATGTGTGCTATGGCTATGGCATTTGTTCTATTGTTAAGATCCAGTCAGCAATGCTATGAAGTAAAATCAGGAAGTTAAATAGCACTACTGTAATAATATATCTTCTCTATAGCTGTACAGCTCTATATGAGCCTCAGATTGCCTTGAAAGATCATTCCAGTATTCCCTATCCAGGGCCAGTTTTCTCCATGTCCTAATTCTCAGTACCTGTTGATCTCTGCTCCACATGTTTTTCAAACACCAATTGTCCAACTGGGTAAAACATACCCCACCTGTCTCAGTATGTATAACTCAAAGAGGTATTAAAATGTTTCCTCTATAATTGTAATTTATGGCTCCACATACTGGTCTTATCAGACTTTTATCCATTTTAGTTTTTGTACTTCTCGAGATATTCATTGATTTTAGTTGTTTTGATAGATTTAGTAGCATCTGTTATCAAGGAAGATTCATCTCTTGATTTTATTGTTCATATCATTGTGTGTATTTCCAAAAACCTAAGATATACAAATTCTTAAACAGCTTCCATGGTTTGTCCATTTATAACTACTACTGGTATTATAACTAACTCCTGGTACTACCATATATTTTTTTTTGTTTTCTGTATGTTTATTACAAGTACCATGATTTTTGAAGCTTTTTGTAGTTGTGAGATTTCTTCTTTAACTGCAAACTCTATTGTACCTGCCCTATATCTATAATCTTTGCGCCTGCATAGCTGTTCCTGATTGAGCAGAAGAATAAGACAGCTTCCAGGTATTGAATTTTTCAGCAAAGAAAAAAAAGTATGACATGCTATCTATTTATTAAATGATACTGAGTATGTCCATTTGGTTGTCCATTTATTCAATAATTCCGATCAGTATTGAATGTGGGTATAAATATTATGTTTAAAACAACTACCCCAAAAAGTAAGCTTTTAAACATTACATAAAATGTTATATTAGCATTAGCAGATTCATGATCAAATTTGGAAAAATAATAACAGGAACTCGAAACAACAAGATACTAAAAATCTACAAAAATTCAGCTATTTTTAAAATACAACTATGGTAAAGAAATATGACACTGTCATCTTTGGAAGGTTTTTTAGCATTAATAGGCGGTGCTTATGGAACCATTGATTGAAATACTATTATTGCAATTCTCCAGTACTTTAAGAAGGATGTACTCAGCATAAATAATTAATCAGCTTTTATTCACTAGTATAAATTGGAAATGAGGCTAACATATCTATCATTGATACCTGTTTTCCTTAGTATCTCTAATAATTTACCATGTTGGACTTAGTCAAAGGCTTTTGCGTGGTAAATGAAAAACAACAAATGCATCTCTCAAGATCTTTGTAAAGAGTACATGCAGACTGAAAAGTGCTTTTCTCATTTTCAGTCCATTACAAAAGCCAAACTGTGTGTATATATTTGTATTTACAATAAATACTACTGTTGAATATTCAAAAGGATCTTGTTCATGACATGTTAGAGATATTGTCATATAATATTTACAATATCTAGCAGTTGATTTATTAGATATAGGGACAAAGCCTGTCGTTATTTGTCCATTTGAATATATTGTGTTAAAGAATTTAGCAGTTTATCAAAAACCTCTTCGTTGAAAGTTTTAGGACATCTATATAAATACTACTTACATCAGCAGCTATGCTGGT